ATATAAATACACACATATGCATGTATATATTTAAGAAAAATATGTTATGTTTATATTTATATATAAATTAAAGTATGAATATAAATATATACATGTTAATATATGTAAATATTTTCTAAATATATACTGTATGTGTGTGTATTTATATATACATAATAAATATACACAGTACACACACATATATTATGTAAACAAAAACTTTTATTTTGGATGCGATTAATCGCGATTATTTGTTTACATATATATCCATATGTACATACACATACCCTGTTTCAATAGACTAATATTAGTTATCCAGAATCTTCTGATGAAATGTGCAAAAGTGTAAAAGTGCTGTGGCACATAAAGTGTCCCACCTTGTCACTGGGGTCCTGTTTGCGGTTGGCGTCTCTCCCACGCAGGCTCTTGGCACTGATGCCTGATTCCGAGGTCTGCATGATCAACTGTGTGGCCAGAAACTGCTGGATCTGCTCCAGAACATCTCTCTGCATCTCCACGGCCATGTGGAACACATCATGGTCCGAGCTGTTGTACATCACCGCATTCTGGAACATCAGCATGATGTCGCGCTGGAACTCAGCTGTGGTGCGGATCAGCCCGTTCTCAATGTTCTTCTTGATGGTGGACAGATCCATTGGCCTAAGAACCCGAAATTGTCACAAAGACTTTGTAGGTACTTCAGCTTTATCTCAAAACATCAAGCACAATTGGATTCCTCATTACAAACCCTTTGAATTTACCTTCAACAATTCACTCACCTGGGCACAATACTGTGGTAACCAGGGGCGATGTCATCCGTCACTGGTTGCAGGAAGACATTTGCATACCTGTTTAAAGTGACCAATTACCACTCAGTTTTATCATTCTGGCTATGCAGAACTGAGGCTTTTTGACGAGTCAGATAAAAGGGGGCGGGGTTTGGTACAGAGTAATGAAGACTCTCACCTGTGATTGGCTGCTGCTCGCCACACCAACATAATGGCTTTCTTCCAGATCTTCTGAGCCTGAATTGCTTCTTGATCTTCACTGCAGATAGAGCTGAGGAGGATGAAGATGAGAACATTATGTAATAATAGCATGTTGAATAATCGTACATCAGAGTCTGTTTACACCAAGTCCGACGTGACTAAATTACACAAAAAGTATTAAAGGAATAGTTCACTCAAGCATGAAAATTTACTCACTCTCAGGCCATCGAAGATGTAGATTAGTTTGTTTCTTCATCTGAACAGATTTGGAGAAATATCATTAAATTACTTGCTCACCAATGGATCCTCTGCAGTGAATGGGTGCTGTCAGAATGAGAGTCCAAACAGCAGATAAAAACAGCACAATGCTCCACGAGTAATCCACACGACTCCTGTCCATCAGTTAACGTCTTGTGAAAAGAAAATCTGCGTGTTTCTAATAAACAAATCCATTATTAAGCATTTTAAACTTTAAATTGTTGCTTCCAGCTAAAATATGAGTCATCTATCCTTAATAATATTGCTTTCTCCAGTGAAAAAGTTGTATAGTATGATCGGGGAGAGAAATATGCACAGATAAAGCACCATTTACATGTGAAAACTAGTTCAAAACAAATATGGATTTTGATGTGAGAGGACAACAGGAGAATGACTTTTTTCACTGGAGGAAACATTATTATAGATTATGGACTCATATTTTGGTGAGAAGCAACGGTTTAACGTTAAAATACCATAATGTATTCGCTTCTTACTAACACGCAGCTTTTTGCTTAACAAGACGTTAATTGATGGACTGGAGATGTGTGGATTATTGTGGATCATTCTGACGGCACCCATTCACTGCAGAGGAACCTTTGGTGAGCAAGTGATGTAATACTACATTTCTCCAAATCTGTTCCGATGAAGAAACAAACATCTACATCCTGGAGTAAATATTCAGCAAATTTTCATGTTGGGTGAATTATTCTTTTAAATATTTTTAAAGTATAATCATAATCATCAGAAATATTTAATCAGACTTAACGTGAATGCTCCTTAAAGGGATAGTTCACCCAAAAAATGAAAATTCTGTCATTAATTACTCACCCTCATGTCATTCTAAACCCTTTTTGTGCACAAATAAAAGATAAATAACGACTTCATTTATAAGAAATTGTTGAATAAAGTTGTTATTTTTGTTTTCTTTGCACACAAAAAATATTCTCGTAGCTTCATAAAATTAAGGTTGAACCCCTGATGTCACATGGACTATTTTAACATTGTTCTTACTACCTTTCTGGGCCTTGAACGTGTCAGTTGCGTTGCTGCCTATGCAGAGTCAGAAAGCCTTCAGATTTAATCAAACATATCTTAATGTGTGTTCCGAAGATGAACGAAGGTCTTACTGGTTCGGAGTGACATGATTTTCATTTTTGGGTGAACTATCCCTTTAATTATGTGACGTTTCGGCACATACAACTGTGAGGAGGCAGGGCTGCTGGGAATGGAGTCTGCAGTTGTGTGGAGCTGTACGGAAGAGGATGCTGTGTGCATGCTATAGCCGTCCTCACTCTCGCTGGCCGGAGGATCCAACTCTGTTTCCTCCTCTGGCTCGGAGAGATAAACTCCATCTCCATCCTCTTCTCCCCCACAATCCTCAACTCCATCCCCTTCTAATCCAGCTTTCATCTCCGACACACTGCCCTCCTCAGCATCACTCACGGCTTCCTCCTCCTCTTTCACTTCCTGTTAACGAGGGGTGTAAAAAAATACTAAAAAGGGCAGAGTTAAAGGGATAGTTCACCCAAAAATGAAACTTCTGTGATTAATTACTCACCCTCATGTCGTTTCCAAACCCGTAAGACCTCCGTTCATCTTCGGAACACAAATTAAGATATTTTTGATGGAATCTAAGAGCTCTCTGAACCTCCCATAGACAGCAAGTGTCCTAACACGATCAAGGCCCAGAAACATAGCAAGGAGATCGGTAAAATAATTCATGTGACATCAGGGGTTCAACCATAATTTTACAAAGCTACGAGAATACTTTTTGTGCGCAAA